AGCAGCGGGCGGGTCAGGAGAGGTCTGCCGCGCCATGTGGTCACCTCTGGGGCAGGCGGGAATCGAACTCATGCGAAAGTGGCTTAAGCTTCTTTGTGCTGTGCTTTATCCTGCTGCGCCACCAGGCAGGGCCTAGTTTGCTTTTTAACTCTTATATTTGATAGGGAAAAAAGACCAGAATATTTTCTGGCACAAGCCACAGAACCTACTGATAGGGCCTGCACAGAGGATATTCACGTGTGGTGAGCACCAGGTCAGAGAGAGGCAATCCTGGGGTTAGCACTGTCACCAGAGGCCAGCCGTGTTTGCTGGTTGGCGTGGCCCCTCAGCTGGCTGCCTCTGAGTGGTAGCTCAGCCAGTGCAAGCACAGTCCTGTCCAGCGGGGACAAAGTATCTTCTCATAAATATTTTTCTTTTATTTCCTTTTAAAAAATAATATCATTTTCATACATTGGTGTTCATTTTTGGACCGTTTTGGATTTCTCCTCTCAGGTGCAGTCCTCTGTAGTTCTCTTACCACCGTAGAACCTGTGGTCCATCACTATAGAAACTTGAGCTCTTCCTGCCAACCCCCTCCCCGTCCCCCACTTTGAGTCCCCTCTCTGCTCTCCTGCTTTGTACCTCAGGTCTATGGTCAGCTTACAAGTTTTGTCTTGTTCCTAATCCTTTGTTTGGCTTCTCAGTATTTCACATATAAGAGAAATATATCTTTTCTTTCTGACTTATTTTGCTTTGCATAATCCCTTCTAGCTCCATCACAAATCTTAAAAGAAAAGCTTCCCAGGAGTCCTCCAAAAGACTACCTCTCATCACTGCCCAGAACGGTATTGCAAGTCCATACCTAAACCAGGCTCTGATGAGAGAAAATAATAAACGTAGTTGGACTTGCATCTCAGAGCCCTTTCATAGCTTTTAAAAACGAAAGATGCCAAAGAATTTTGTTTATGTGGGTTTATGTTGTATTACAAGTTAAATTTGAGAATTTAACACTATTATTTAAGATAATAATAAATTATATGTTAAAACATCTTTATGAGAAGTAGCTATTTCTAAAACCATAGCAAATTGTTGGAAAGTGTAGTATTGTACTTTACTCTTCTCACATTTCTTTAATGCCCATCTGAACAGAGCATGTAGATTCTCATAGCTTCTACAAGCTGAAACCGTATGCATTGAAGAGACTCACCTTTCTTCCCCCTTCTCCCTCACCCCCTGCAACCACCATTCTACCTCTTACTGCTATAGGTGTGGAGTTTTGCATTTTGGAGTTTTATATTTCATTAGCATAATGTCCTGAAGGTTCATGCATGTTGTTGTATATTGTAGATTTTCCATTTTTTTTTAAAAAGATTTATTTATTTGTGAATACAGAACTGGGGTACAGGCCAGAGGTGCAGGGTTGGTGAGAGGATTCACCAGAGACAGAGTGGAGAGCAGAACAGGCAGATTAACTGAAATACACTGCTGAGGGGAGAAAAACGTCTGCCAAGCCATGTGGGTCACCTCCGGGTCCAGGGTTCGTACTCGTGCTAAGTGGCTTTAGTTTCATAGTGCTGTGCTGCACCACCAGGGAGGGCCCAAGACCAAATAATATTTTATTGTATACATTTACCACATTATCTATTCATTCATTGATGGGCACTTGTATTTATCGTGAAATGATGCTGTAAACATGGGAGTGCAAATATCTTTTTGAGCCCTTATTTTCACACTTTTGGGTAAATGCAGGGAAGTGAAATTGCTGGATCGAATGGCAATACTACTTTTTATTTGTCGAATAACTGCCATACTATTTTCCACAGTGGCAGAATAATTTCACATTCTCACCAGCAGTGCACAAGGGTTCAATTTCTTGACATCTTCACCAACACTGTTTTTTATTCTTTTGATCATAGCCATTCTGATGACGTAGTATCTCATTGTGCCTTTGATATGCATTTCTTAGATGATTAGTGATGTTGAGTGTCTTCAGTACTTGTTGGCTACTTCTAGATCTTTCGAGAAATGTCTGTTGCTTATTTTTGAGTCAGATTATTTTCTTTAGTTGCTGTTGAGTTTTAGGAGTTCTTGTTATTCTGAATATTAATTCCTTATCACATATTTTCTTTCATCTTTTTTACTCTGCTTATAACATCTCTTTATGCAAAACATTTAAAAATTTTCATGAAGTCCCATTTTCTCCCTCCTGTTGTCTGTGACTTTCATACCATGTATAAGAAAGTAGTGCCAAATCCAGTGTCATGAAGTCTTAGTCTTATTTTCTTCTAAGTTTCATTTTCTTGTTCCATTTTGAGTTATTTTTGTATGGGTATTAGGTAATGGCCCACCTTTGGTCCTTTGCATCTCAATACTCATTTTTCTCTGGTATCATTGGTTGAAAGATTATTATTCCTTTAAATAAATAACCTTGGCAGTCATGTCAAAAATCATTTGCCTGTATTTGTAAGGGATTGTTTTGGGTTCCATTATATTGCATTGATTTGTCTGCTTGTTGTTATCCTAATGCAACACTGTCTTGATTACTGTAGTTTTGAAATCAGGAGGTATGAATCTTCCAGTTTTATTCTTTTCCAAGATTGTTTTGGCTCCTCAGAGTCCTTTGAAATTCCAAACAAATTATATAATGGAGTTTTCTATTTCTGTGAAGAATTTCATTGGGCTTTTGATAGGGATTACACTGAATTTCTAGTTGCTTTGGGTTATACTGGCATTTTAACAGTATTGTTTTCAAATTCATGAACACACATTGTATTTGCATTTACTATAGATTTTTTATTTTCTTTTAGTAATGTTTTGTCATTTTTAATTGCACAAATCTTTTATCTTCTTGGTTAAGTTAATTCCTGATACTTTATTCTTTTTCATGTGATAGTAAGGGAAGTTGTTCTTCTAATTTCCTTCTCAGGTTGTTTGCTATTCATATACAGACATACAACTGAATTTTGCGTGTTGACTTTGTATCCTGCTCATTTGCTGAAGTCAGTTATTTGTTCCATCAACTTTTTGTTTGGTCTTTAGAGTTCTTTACAAATATATATCATCTAAATGCAGAGATAATTTGGATATCTTGTTTCTTTTGTTTAATTTCTCTGGCTAGTACTTCTAGCATTATGTTGGGTCAAAGTGGTGAAAGTGGGGATCCTTACCTTTTTCCTGATTTTAGAGAAAACACTTGGTTTTTGGCTATTAAAAATAATATTTGCTGCTTTTTTCATATATGGCCTCTTTATGTTAAAGTAATTTTCTTCTATTCCTAATTTGAGTATTTTTATTATGAGATTGTATTGAATTTTTTCCAGTACTTTCTCTGTTTGGATGAAGTGATCATTTTTTCCCCTTAATTAAACTTGATTTGGTGTTTAATATTAATTGAGCCTCATGTTGTACAGTTCTTGTATTCCAGCAATAAATATTAGTATAGTGTTGGAGCGTTTGATCCACTTATATTTAAGGGAATCACTTATAAGGGATACTGATTGCTGACATCATGTTATTTGTTTACTATGTCTTAACATAGATTTTTGTACCTCATTTTCTGCATTGCTGTTTTCTTTTGTGTTCAGTTGATTTGGGGGGGATAGTGAAATGTCAATCTTTTCTCATTTCCTTTTGTGTATATTCTATAGTTAAATCTTTGTGGATACCATGAAGGTTACATTTAAAATGTTAAAAGTTTTAAATTGTAATTTGAATTTGTACCAACTTGGGTCAATAGTTTTTTTGAAACTGGTTTATTTGTCCATTTTACTGGCAGTAGAAAACTCTTATTTCTGTTAACCAGGTTGACATTTGAGGAAGTTCAAATTCTAAAAATATGCTATTTAAAAGCAAGTGTCCCAGAACTACCCAGAAGAATATTTTTGCAGGAAAATTATAAGCAGCTTATATTTATGTAACTAAGGAGAGAAAGGAAAAATGAAATTAATGAATGATAAAGATGAAGATAAAGCCATAAAGTTAGAGTCAGGGAACCATTCTCATACAGATTTATTAGAATTTGATTGGGTTTTAGATACCATCTTACTAACAATGATATCTGTCATTGACATGCATTTAATTCTATTAATTGAGGGGAACAAATTTGGGATATGTGTTGTTATTGCATTTCAATTAAGCCTGTGAACGAATAATGAGAATTAGGAATCTTAAGTACTATATGAAAAGCTTCAAGTATAGAGTGTAATTCAAGTTATTTCATGTAAACCATGTTGAATGGAGGTAGATACAGTTCTCTTACCTATAAGAAGCAATGGAATGTCTTGGTTAAAGACTCAGGCTGGTGCTGACTGCCAGGGTCCAGCCCCAATCTTGTCACATGCTGTGTCACTTTGGGTGACTTATTTGAATTCTCTTGCCTCAGAGTTTTTATCTGGAATGTGGAATTAATCATAGTGCCCACCCCATGTAGTTGCATGAAGATGAAGCAAGTTGATACACACAAAGTTCTTATAATTCTATCTGTCATGTGTAAAATAGTAATACATTCTAAATAGTAATCATTGTTGTGGTAAATAAAGACACATAAGGATTAGCAAGTCTTTTGTGTTGCTGTTCAGATAGATTAAAGGCTGAAATCTCAGCAGTCCCAGCAGCCAGGACCAGCCTCGTCATTTTTCTCCATCAGACCATTCTTATAATGAGTCTCCCATCTTATTTCATGCTCCTTTGAGGAAGATTACTGCCCCCTGAAGACATTAGGTAGTCACTTTAGGAAGGACTGAAACTTCACACCTTGCCTGTGAATCAGGGGTCCTGCAAAATGTAGGGCAAATCTGGGACACCACTTAGTTTGGAATGGGATCCGAGCTAAATGTAGGTTTTCAATGGTTGGAAAAAAACATTTTGTGATCAGTGAAAATAATATAAAATTCAAATTTTAGTTGTTGATTTTTAAAAAGATTTTACTTATTTATGCATACAGAACTGGGGTACAGGCCAGAGGTGCAGGGACGGTGAGAGGATTCACCAGAGACAGAGTGGGGAGTAGAATAGGCAAACTGACGAAGCACAGTGCTGAGCGAGGGAGCGGATGAGAGAGGAGAGGTCTGCTGTGCCATGTGGATCACCTCTGGGGCTGGGGATCAAGCTCACACTGAAGCAGCTCCAGGAGCTTTGCAGTGCTATGCTCCAACCTGCTGCGCCACTAGGGAGGGCCTTAGTTATTGATCTTAAAGTTTTATTGGGACATAACCATGCCATTTCATTAATGAAAAGCAGTCCGATTGTTTTTGTGTAACAAAAGCAGAGTTGAGTCGTTCCAATGGAAATCAAATGACCTGCAAAGCCTGAAATATTTACTATTATGTCCTTTGCAGATAGTTTTTTTACCTCTGTTCTAAGTATCATTTAATACTTGACATTCTCCTAGTGTCTCATGGAAAATACTGGGCAAACTTTCCCTCTGGTTTTCACTTTTTCTTTCTCAGTTTTTCTTTGTATAATGACTTCTATTTTAAGTTAATCATGTATATGACCATGAATCATTAATTTAGGGCTTCTTGGGTCACTCATGTCTTAATCATGAAGACTTGAGTGACATTAAGATGATCAGAAGTCTTTTACCTGCAATAGTATCTTCCTCCATGTGTACAGTTACTGGGAGAGAATGGTTTTTCCTTTCATTGACTCTTAGGCATGGAAGGGACTTCATGGTAATCTAATTGTTGTACTGACACTACAGATGAAGTGGAAGCCCTCAGAAGTGACACAGTGAGTCACTGTCATAGGGCTGGGTCCCCACTGAATCAGAATTAGTGTCTATTTCTGAATTTATTTCTATCTTACAAACCTCATATCCCCTAAATCAATTGTCAGTTGACACTGAAGGCCTTGCAGACATAGGCCTGCCCCACATGGTGTGTATCTGTAGAATATTCAAATTTAGGGTTTATTTGCTCCTACTTCTTTTCAAGACTCAAGACTGAAAGACTTGAGTAAAGAAGTATAGAAGGATAAAAAGATGAAAAAAAATGTCATTTGTCTCATTTCATTGATCTGGCTAAGTACTTTGTGGGGTATACAGAGCAGTGGCCACAGTCCAAAGAGATAGAGCTTATGGAATAGACACTGTGTGCCCAGAAAATAGAAGAAGGAGAGATCCAGGTACTTTTTAATATTTGGCTCACAAATACTTTACTCTTTTGGTCTTCACTTTTCCTCTCTAGTCCCGGATTACCCTTTAACTTCTATATGTTAGAAGAACATATAGAACTGCCTAAACTATTGCATTTGAAAGAGTTTACTTGGTTGTTTTCATTTGTTATAAAGGGAACAAAATATGAACAAAGGAGGCATTTACAATCAGAAAATCACCTCTGTTTCACTTTAGAAGAGTAAGACTAAATGCTTGGTTGTTTTACTTTTTAAGACATAATTTCCTAGAATTATAATTTGAATCATCTAAGTAATAGATATGCTATGATACAACTGGGGAATTAGTCAACATTTTGACTTAAAATGAAAATCTCTTTTATTTCCCTTTAATAAGCAAATATTGTCAATTGTCCCTATTCTCTGACCTGTTCCCCCTTTCCACTCCTGGACTTTAAACTTATCGCTTTTCTTTGCTGTGGTTGACTGGTTTCTTCCCATCACCTTCATTTCTTTCCTCTTCATTACCTTTGAATTTTGAAGCACAGGATTTATGCAATTTCTGTCTTCTGTAATTTACGTCCCTCCCCACAACTGTGAATCATCCATTTTTTAAAATTCCTTTGCTGTAATTTAGAGTTTTCAATCCATCCATTTGTTACCATTAATTCTACTTCCCTAGTATGTTAAACCAAGACTCATCACTCTAAATGTCTTTTAAAATCTCAGTTCACATGATGAAAGTCTTTTGTATCCAAACTCAGCTCATATCTTTAATTTCTTAGTGTCATTTTTGAGCTTTAAGGGCAACCTCTAACTTATCTATAGTTCATATTATGGTCCTTGTCTTGTAACCATAGGGCTATTAGCTAAGAGCCATCTGAGCTACTGGGAAGGGGAACCCTGCAGAGAAAGCAGGCCTGGGCCGGGTGGAGGAAGACCTGCATCTTTATAATCTGTGCAGATTTCTCCCTGGTTTTATGGCCTCATCTGAAGATAAGTCAGTTGGGAGATTGAATTATATGGTCGAAATATCTGAACTAGGGTTGGGTATGAGAAAAGGGAGTAGGAAAGCTCACATAAGATGGAATTCTGTAAAGGAAAAAGATAAAACATCACGGGGGAAATGAACTAACATTTAGAGTTTTGTCACATCATTGAGATTCTTTAGTAAATTGGGTAAGAATGTTTGCATTTCAGAAACTCTCATAACAACATAGCTGTACTCTGATTTCCCAAGGAAGGCGGGGGTCCCTGCATGCTCGGCCTCCTTGCCTTTGATAGTTGTATCACTCTCCATAGTTCCCCTGTGTTTGCGCCTGTGAATTGTGGGGTCTTTTGAAAAGACTTACTTCTCAAGTTCAGTGTCAATGATAAATACCCTGTGAACATTCTGCGAGGAAGCAGTTTTTATTTTGATGAAATCGCACGTGTTTTTCTTGACCTTTCTGCACATGGGTGAAGCAGACTTTTGAAGAAGCTGATAAGAATGGCGACGGCTTATTGAATATTGAAGAGATACACCAATTGATGCATAAACTGAATGTCAATCTGCCCCGAAGAAAAGTCAGACAAATGTTTCAGGTACATTTTCACTATTGGACTGGAATTTTATGTTAAAAAAAAATGTGCTTAGATGTTCAAAAGATGTTTTTATCATTTTGGAAGCTCATGTTGCCTGCTCAGTACTGTTTCATTTTCCTTTGATGGAGAGAGGTGTTTTGTTTCATGGAGGAGGGAAACTTCCTACCTTAACATGAACTTTCACTTCCTAGACTGCTTTTTTTTTTGCTGTTTTCAGAAAGTAATTACAAGTACTTTTCCTGACACTTACATAATGGAGTCAGCACAATCAAATCTCTTAGAGGGGATGATATCTCATCTCCCTACCTCACAGGCTATTTTGAGTCTCAGAATAAAGACAGGTGGTTTGTAAGAAACAGCACTTGTTGAAGTCCTTAAGAGCCCTCGATTTTGTTTCAGTGGTGCTTAAGTTAGAATCCACGAGGTGCGGACATGCTATGTCACTGCTGTGTAGGAAGTTCTCCTGCTCACTGGCCTCTTCTTGTGGGAGGCTCTTTCCCGGTTGGTAAGCCCTTGAGGGGAATCCTTGGGCCCAAACATACCCTGGCTTCTAGCTGGAGTTATAGTCAGTGCTCAGTCAAAGGTGCACAAGTGAACCAATAAAATTTAATTGGTAAAATACAATGTTGGATTATTTGTCATTGCAGAACATTCATTTAGAAGACCCCCGTTTTTTGCATTTTATTTAATATTATAATAGTTTATTTTTACATCATTTTGTGCCTTTTCCCATCTCTGTTTAGTCCCCGTGGGCTCCGCATCACCAAATCACCTGTGTGCCATCACGGGAGTCCAGTGCATCCCCCCAACCCCCTGTTTTTGATCCCGTTCCCCACTCCACCCCCATAAAATGTCTCTGCTATATAGTTGTTCATTATTATTATTATTTCTGCCCCGGGAAAGACCCTTATTTTTAAATCACTTGTTCTTTAGTGATGGTCAGGGCAGAATGATGGAGATGTATAGTTTCAACAGTGAGTGGAAGATGGGAGCTGGCTCCTTCCTCTGACCTTGTCCAGGGCTCCTGCCTGTGGCAACTTCTTGGCTGGAGATGGTTTGTGTTATGGTGAACTTGCACCTCTTGCACCAGAGACCATGAGACCAGGGGAAGGAGTAAGATATGTAGAGAAGAAATGCAGCGAGAGGAGGGATTTGGAAGGGAAATGACTTTCCGCAGTGAATTGCCGCTGCACGATACGGAAGGATTTGCCTGTGCTTGGCACTGTCTGTGACAGCTGACATTGGTCCCGAGCCCCAATGCTCATCTGTTCCTTTTGCAGGAGATACTTGTGGCGCTAAAGTGGCAGGTTCTTATTAAACTAGGTAGTCCGAGCTTAAGAGAAGAGTAAAATTTATATCTACAAAAATTAATTTGGGGAACCTTTTGGTTGAGAGGGCAGAAATATATAAGATCCAGAGCTCGCTCCTCCTTCCCTCCTCCCTCCCTCCCTCCCTCCCTGCCTCCCTGCCTTTTTTTTTTTTTCCCCATCAGACACTGTTATTTCTAATATACTAAGTATTTTAGAGGGTGAACCAGAGGTGTGACTATTAAGGGTATTTAATATATATATATATTATTTTTTACAATAATCTTCATTTTGTACATTTTTTCCATCTCAGTTGTTATCCCTGGGGGCTTGCCACCACCAATTCACCTGTGCCGTCACCATAGTCCTGTGCCCTCTTCCCACCCCATTTCATGTCTCTGGTTTATAGTTGTTCGTAGTTCTTATTTTTTCTTCTTATATTTGCTTCTCTCTCCCTTTTTTTTATTATGTCTTTTAAGTTCAAAGTTAATCTTTCAGACAAGTTTGAAGAAAACATTAAGAGTCTCTCTCTTTAGGTTTAAAGACTTATCAACGGGGCCTCCCTGATGGCCTAGGGGTTAAGTCTAGGCACCATCACCCACTAAGGCCTGAGTCTGATCCTTGCCCAGGGAGCTGACCCACATATGGTGCAGCAAACCTCTCTTGTTTCCCTTCTGCTCCAGTAAATCTGATGTAGGCCTTGCACCTAACAGAGTTCTATTAGTGCGCAAGGTGGGAGCAGGCTGACCGAGGCGCTCAGTATTATTTCTAAAAGAGTCTATTACTGCTTTTGACACCATCGCATAGAGACATGAATATTCTTTGCTTTTCTGTTACAGTGTCAGATCCAATTGATTATTTTTTTCTTAAAGTAATCCTTTAAGGTACAGATACCTTCTTTTGAAATATCCAATGCTCTTAGATGCTTCCCAATTTTACTGTTTTTAGTTAATTAGGAATTTATAAGGAACTCTTAAGCATGTTTTATTTCTATATACAGGGTTCATTATTTTGTATACAAAAGCATCAATAGTCTATAGCTTAACCTAGCTCTATCTTAACCTACCTAAACTGTTTTTCACAAGAAAATGGTATGGTTTAAATTCTGGTCAAAGTGAGTGTCCAGAATTGACCCAAGATCAACAAAGATTTTAAAAGTATTTTTTTATTAGTTAAGTTTTTATGAGTTAACATTCAAAGTTAGGTTTAAAACAGTGTAAATGACAAGTATATGTTACAAAGCCATTCAAAATATCATACTTTTCCTGTCCATCTTTGTTCAGTTCGAATGAGCTGTCCAGTTAGAATGAAGACCAGGTGAACGGACTGGCTGCTCATTCTTCCTCCCCAACAGTGTTATGGCTTTATGACAAGTTGAGTTAATCAGAAGGAAGATACTTGAAAATATTCTTGCTCAATAATTACTAGAAACAAATACTTTCAACTAGAAATCAGTTTGGAGGGATTTTTTTTAGATTTCAGTGCAGGGAAAGCAAGGATATACCAAGATGCTAATGACTATAAGACATTCCAGTGCAGAACTGAGAAGGATTCACTATAGGTAAAAATTGCATTTGATTGAATTGTAGTTCAGAAGCTGATGAAAGACTGGTATTATCATCATGTGTTAAATGTCTCTTTTGTTCCTGATTAGTCTTGTACAAAATTCCTTTTTGAAAAGAACAGCCTTTGATTTAACTGTTTACCTTTGGTGTTTTGCCTATTTTCTGTTTCATTGCTTGCTGCTTTTGTCTATATAACTTACTACCTTCTATTTTGTTCAACTTAATATTTTCTAGCTGTTTTATTTTGTAGTTTTTTGAGTTGACTTATTAGCTTATTTTTAATTTATCTTTTTTCTTAATAAATTAAAAATTCCAAGTTTTCTTCTAATTACTGCTTTACTTTGTCTCTGAGTTTCAATGTATAGTGAATATGTTCACCGTGTTATATGTCTGTTCCTATTTAGAAATGTACCATTTCCTAATTGTTTCTAAAAAAGTTTTCTTTATTATCTGTAACATCACTGTGATTAGAAAAGTTGTTTTTTATAAGGGTGATTTTTTATAATTTATTGACAATATTTTTGCATAGTTTATACAATACTATACAATATTTTGTATAGTTTTAAAATGGGTCCCTATGTTTGAAAAGAATGTGTGTTTACTACTTATAAAACGTGTGCTAGCCTTTTTAGAGTAAATATTTTCCCCCAGACTGAATTTTCTATTCCAGAGCCTCTCACTGTCTGCCTTATTTTTTCCCTTTTTCTGTGTCTCTTTCAGGAAGCAGATACAGATGAGAATCAAGGAACACTGACATTTGAAGAATTCTGCGTTTTTTATAAAATGATGTCATTGAGACGGGACCTTTATTTGTTACTCTTGAGCTACAGTGACAAGAAAGATTACCTAACTGTGGAAGAACTGGCTCAGTTTTTGAAGGTGGAACAAAAGGTATTAGATATTGAATGTTGAATCAAAAAATATAAGGGTTTCTCTTGGGATTGGAATAGACATACTTTGAATTTAAGACAAGGAAAGTAAATTTCACAATTCCACAAAAAATCTTATCTGAGTAATTTGTTTCCAGGCACTTTTAAGAGGTGGTGATTAAAAACACACAGTTTTTAAATTTAAATGTGTTGGGTATGAGTGGACATGCTTGTTTTCCCACAAATTACGGAATATTAGCTCATGTTTTATAACTGACATATCGTTAACTAACAATATAGTAACTCATTGGTAATTTTGAGAGGAAATTGGCACTTGGTCATGTGAGAAAGTTTAGTAAGTTAAGTTCTGATTAGCAAAAGGCATCCCTAAATATATATATATAAATATGAATTTCAAATTTGAGATTATGTAGGGTGAATTGTGGTCAGTAATTGTGGTATCGTCATTCTGCCTTTTTAAATCTTGCCTTAAACTCCATTTGTTTCTCACTGCTTATCACTAAAGTAGAAGAATAAATGAATATTCTGGTTTTGTTTTTTTCTAACTTTATTTACATATACACGACAAAAATTTGTACATATTTATGGTGTACACCATGAAGTTTTGATACACGTACACTATGAAATGATTACCACAAACTAAAGACACAGCCATCATATGGTTACTTTGTGTGTGTGTGGTGAGAACACTTAAGATTGACTCTGTTAGCAGATTTCAAAGATAGCAATATAATACAGTATTATAAGCTACAATCACTGAGCATTACATTACATTTCCAGGACATATTAATCATCCCACATGACTGAAGCTTTGATTAATGTTCTTCCCCTCCTTTGTATCTGCATCACTGTCACCCCCTTTCCCTTCCAACCCTTGGCCATCATTCTACTCCCTGCCTTTATGATTTTGACCATTTTCTATTCTGCATATGAATGAGATCATGTGGCATTTGTCTGTGCCTGAATTATTTCATTTGCATAATTTCCTCTAGGTTTATATATTGGCGGGAATGATTTTTTTTTCATTTCTTATTATTTTTAAAAGTAATAGTTTATTTTTACATCATTTTATACATTTTTTATCTCAGTTTTTTATTTTCTTGGTGGGAATGATGCAATCAGTCATATTTGTGTAATGGAGCCTCTATAAAAGCATCTACACTGTGGGGTTTGGAAATGATGTAACAGAAGAAATGTTCTGCCCTGAGACTAGATCCTTTCTATATCTCTCCTTCTCTAATTCCCATTCTTATAGTCCCTCATTCTCACTAGGAGAACTTCTCATAGTGAGGCGGGAAGAACTTAGAAGAGGAGCCCAGAGACCTGTATTCTACACCCTGCAAGCTTACTGGTTGAAGAGTCTTAGGCAGCTCAATCATTGTTGTTTCCGAGGCTCAGCTTCCTGATCTGTGCAAAGAGGAGGAAATGCTTTTCTCACTGTGTCCAGCAGAAGGTTGCTTGTAATTAATGTGAAACCCTTTGACAGAAAATTGGGAAGCACAGCAATATGAGGAATTAAAATGTTTAAAACTACTACCTCAAATTCATTTGGACTAGGGGAACCAACCCAGTCCGTTTGGATAGTGATAGTGGATGTCATTTGCTTGGGGGCATGTGTTCTTTTCTCCTCATTCCACAGCTAGTGGGGCAAGACAGAAATCAATGTTCTGTGACATCAGCCACTGGAACATGATTACCTATACCCAGTTTAATTTTCTAAATTAGCTTGAAGCTACATGTGGGCATAAACTGAAATAAATTAAAAGAAATTATTATACATCAAAAGGCATATATTATAAAGGACAATATTAATGGCTTAAAAATTTTAATTTATGTGGCTCAGTTTATTAAATACCGTGAATTTAATGTCAGCTACAAACAAAGAAAATATTTACAACATACAAAAAAAGAAATAGTCAATGTCCTTCTTAGGAAAAGTACTTTTACAGACTATTCAAGAAAAAATACTCAATAGAAATGTTAGTCTGCCCCCCCCTTCCCCACCTGGCATTTCTCCCCTCAGGTGTGATCACCATAGCTCTCCCACCATCAAAGCTCTGTCCTGTCCCCTTTACCTTCCCTCTCCGCTCCTGAATGCTTCATATCTAAGGGCAGCTTTCAAGGGTCAGTAAGGGTCAGTTATAAAGTTTATCTGCCCTTTGGTTTCTCTATGTCCCACCTAAAGTGAAACCATCAAGTATTTATCTTTGTCCTCTGGCTTGTGTTACTTAGCATTAATCCCTTACAGTTCTATCCATGTTGCTATAAGTAGTATGACTTTATCCTTTTTGATCGTTGTGTAGTATTCCACTTTGGATACACACCGAATTTTCTTGATCATCTTATCTGTTCTGGGACATTTAGATTGTCCCCACATCATGGGTATTTAAAAAAGTGCTGCTATAAACCTGGGTGTGCAGGTTTCCTTTTGAATTAGTGTTTTTGTGTCCTTTGGGTAGGCTCCTAGGAGTGGAATTTTTGGGTCATGTGGCAGATTCTTTTGTTTGTTTGTTTGTTTTGTTTTGTTTTGTTTTAATATGGGACATTCTCACAGATGTGCAGTGGTATCGTCATTTTCCTGATAAGTGAGGTGAACATTTTTTCATATGCCCGTGGCTATCTAATGTTTATTAGAGAAGTGCATCAACTCTTCTGTACATTTTTCGATTATTAGGTTTTCTTTTTGTTGAGTTCTGTGAGCTGTTTGTAGATCTCTGGATGGTGTGCAAGGTTTTCCCTCACATTCTGTATCATCACTCTTCATTTTGGTTACTGTCTCTTCTTACTCTATAGCACACTAAAGCTTTTTAGTGTGATTTAGTCCCAGTTGTTTATATCCGCCTTTGTTTTCCTTGCTGATGGGAGATGAATCTGCAAAGACTTTTCTGAAGATTATGTAGTAGAGGGTTTGCCTTTGTTTTCTTCTATGTATTTTATGGTTTCAGGTCATACCTCCAAGTCTTTTGTCCATTTTGAGTTGATTTTCATATACGGTGTGAGATAGTGATTTTAGTTTCATTCTTTTGCCTGTGGCTGTCTTGTTTTCGCAGCACTGGTGTTGGAGAGGCTTCCCTTGCCCCAATGCAGATTTGTTCTTTGTTAGAGATGAGTCGCTGGCATATGAAATAAATAAAATGTCACGTTAAAAAGTCAACACAGCAATTAAAAATGTTCATCCTTCATTAGTAACTAAAAAATAGGAACTAGAACCAAAAGACCATGTTAATAAAGGTTGAAAAAACATGTACCAAACATAGGGCTCATTTTTTATATTTTTGGTGGAATAATGAAAAGGTAAAGAAAGTGTTTCTCTAAGATAATTTTGTTAAATTTCACATAAGTGATAAACTTTGATGTATCCTTTTTACTTTTAGTAATTTATTCCAGAGGAAAGAATTGTGCATAGGAAGAAAAGTTATAAAACTGTGCATTTTTCAGTCTCTAAAATAGGGAAAAATTGGACATGATCTCAAATATGTGGAAATAGTATCACTAATCAAGAGTTTTATGGGCTTTTGCATTTTAAAATGGGATTTTCATAATGGAACAAATCTGAGGCAACGTGGTGATCCATATGGTAGTAATTCATTCATTTCTGATGGCATAAGATTGGTGTAAACACCAGAGGATTTGACTTTTACAGATTTATTCAGTTGTGAAATGAAATACTGCTGTTGGTCACATATACTGTTAAGGATTATGTGAAATCAAACATTGGCCACAGGTCAACTTTTTATTTTGCTGAAGCTCTCTAAAAGTTGATTTTATACTCTGTAAAAGTTGACATTTCCAACTGCTTTCTGATTAGGACATCCTTAAAATGTGAATACGCTTCTTATTGTCTTCTGTACCCATGAAGAAGTGCTGGTTAGGAAAGAAGTAGCTGGCTGAGGTTTTTCTTTTGTCACTGTCTTACATCCACAGATAAAGATCTGACATTTCCCAAGCCCATGGTTCCAAAGTTAACTAGGGTGGTCTCCCAGTGTTAATGTGGCTTTGGGTCAAGCAGAAGAACTTTGGTAGTTAAAAGAAGATAACATTGGCATCATAGACATGAGAAACTGTAAACCCTTTGCTAATTGTGAATAGTCTTAATTCTCTGTGATGAGAAAAGCAGACATCAAGTGGTAGCTTCTGGTGTCCAGTCTGATTTATATTTCTGTACCTGACTTTTGCACATCCTTGTAGTGTGTGAGCTGCATGTATATTCTGATACTTGTGGTATTAATTTTACATGTCAGTTTGACTATGTATAACGGTACCCAGCAAATCAAAACTACAGTGAGGTAGCAACTCACCCTTTGCTCATTATTGGTGGTAATGTAGACTGTTTCAACTCTATGAAGAACAGGTTTGAGGTTTCTCAAAATATTAAAAATAAATCTACCATGTGGTCCAGCAAGCCCATGCCTACGTGTCTACCTGAAGAATGCAAAAACAGCAAATCAGAGGCAACTGTGCACTCCTATGTCGATTGCAGCATTATTTACAAGTTATGTAGACAACATCAGTGCCTGGGGATAGATGAGTGGACTAAGGAGATGTAGAATATGTACACAAAGGAACACTACTCCCTTATAACAAAAGGTGAACTCATGCTATCTGAGACAATGATAGAACTGGAAGGGATTATGCTAAGCAAAATACCAGTGATTTCACATACATGGGGAATAAAAAGAAAACAGACGATATTAAACCAAAGCACACCTTGGAAATATGACTGCAGAATTGTGGTTCCCAGAGAGGAGGAGCCCAGTGTATCACAATGAAGGGCTCTGGGTGTTTTGGTGATGGTTATGGTGTGGTAGTAAACACCAGAAGAGGTATGAACCCATACCACTAGTCATAAACTATGTTGTAAGTCAATGTTAGGTAGCAATTAAAAATTTTTTTTCCTTATTAAATTAGCTAAGTTGAATGAGGGCTTTTGTTTTATTTTTACGCCCTGTATTTGTCAAAAACCAAGCCATAACTCTTGGTATTTCTATCCATGGTTTGGCA